GAGAGACCTGTAGGTTGAGATAAGAACAATTTACTAATAATACGAATAATAATAAATCATAGAATCATAGAATGGCATAGGCTGGAAGGGACCTCAGAGATCATCTAATCCAACCTCCCTGTCATGGGCAGGGACGCCTCTCAACTAGACCAGGCTACACAAGGCTCCGTCCAACCTGGCCTTGAACATCTCCAGAGAGGGGGCATCCACAACTTCTCTGGGCAAAATGAATATATATATCTATAATGATAATAATATATACAAACAAGTGACGCACAGTGTAATTGCTTACCAGCTGGTGACCAAGGCCTGTCGCATCCCGGCTAACAATCCCTAAACAAATAAGTCCTGACACTAAAATCCCAGAAGAGCAAGAGGCCCTAAAAGAGAGTGAGAGCGAGCGACCCCTCCGAGAGTCTGAGAGTGAGAGTCCCTGGAGGTGCAAAAGCCCTTCTTTCTGGTCAACCCTCATCTATATACTGGGCATGACATTGCATGATACAGAACACTTCAGAGGCCAATTTGGCCCTTGATCCTAAGTCTAAGTTCAAATCATGAGGGGCATTGTGGACCCTTTGTCCCGGCATGCTCCTCCCCGCACACTGGCAAGAACAGAGGAAGCTGAGAAGTCCTTGAGGTCTCAGTGCCAACTATAAACATCAGTGCACTATCAACATTCTTCTCATAACGAGTCCCAGACTAAACCCAAAACTCAGAGCTCTTCTAGCTGCTAAAAAGAACAACTGACTCTGTCCCAGCCAAAACCAGCACACCAGTTTAGCCATTACAGGACCCCAATCTCCTATCAGTAGCATCAGAATGATTTATTTTCCTTTGCTGCTCAAACTTCAGTGACTGGAACAAGAGCTGGAGTTTATATGTGGTCTCTGATCAGGGTATTTTGTTAGCAAGGTACCTTCTAAAGAACTGCCAGGTGGTTTCCCTGTAAAACTGAGAATCCAAATTGAAGAGCCTTAATAAATTCAAGACAGTTGAGCAATGGGAAAGAACTTGCGTCATTCTTACAAGCTTCTCTTCAGGAAGTGGTGATGAGACAGAACATTTCATCTAAATAAGTGAATCTGGAAATTTTCCATACTGAGATATGGAAAGATCACTTGTGTTTAAAATATACCGCCCTTTACTTTTAAAAGTGAAGATAATTGTCTCTCTAATTGCAGCATAGCGATTCTGGACTGTTTGTAATTTCTTGATATTGCAAAGTCTGAACACTTTAATAAGCAAGTAATTCAGGGTGATGCTTTTACTGTTTAATATGTGTTCATGTTTAACACCTGGGGAAGAAGGAGAAGAGAACGCTGTAACATTTACTTCTGGATCCTGTTGAAGTATTAATCTGTGCTATGTGTTTATTGTCTAGCATGTCTATTTGAATAAAAATTCCATACCTTTTTATAGGATTATCATTGAGCAGTTCATATGCTGCCCTGCCCCTAGTAGAAAATCAGCAGTTTATTATCTACTTCAGATATTTTTCTAGCTAGACACGTTTTCTATACTGGTTTAATCATAGTTATAAACACACACACACAAATCTGCTAAAAGCTTATGTAGGTGGATCTTCTATTAACTTCACTTACACTGTTGATATTTAAAATAAACTTGCTGACTGGTGTAGATTATCTTCTGCATGCAAACGGATTAGTTATATGGCATCATGACTTGTGCAAAATAGGTCTGTGATGTTGGAGATACAGTCACAAGGCACATGAGTGTAGCATCTATATTTTTAGGTGTCCTATTCCACACAGGCTTTCCAAGCATGATGTGGAACAGTTACGTATCTAAGATTTTGAGAAACCAAGTTAGATGTAAGTTATCTCCAAGAAGAAATGTTGAAGCAGGGAGATGGAAAGGAATTAGGTAGCTATATACTCCTGGAAAGCATCCATGAGATTTAAGTCCTTCGGTAAGGTCAGCTTTGTCATGAAAACAGTGAAGCTGCTGAGGCTCCTCTTGAGACTGAAGAGTATCTGGGTAGAGTGCTTAACTAGGAAGAATCCTGTCTTCAGCTTGATTTTGGAGGCTCTGAAATCTGCTTCCTTCCTTCCCAAATGAGTTATTTTAACTAATAGAGTAAAGTTGCTCTGGAGAGTGTAACTTGCATTCTCTTCCACTGACATACTTTATTAATTAATGGAGAATTTCCCCAGATTTTCAGAAGCTCACTAAGTGTTATGTTCCTCTTAAGGTTGAGGATACTGAAGCAAAGAGATCAAGTAACAGACTGAAAAGTTACAAGGGGGTTCCACTTGGACCAGAAGTGGAGCCAAGGATTTCCAGGTTCCCAGGGGATTTTAGGACTGCGAAACTTTATTACACTTTAGCTAATGTCTTAATTCTTGCATTGACAAATAAAATATGTCAAAGAAAAGCAGAGAATTCAAAGTGCTACCATATTTCTTAGCTTAACTGTTTGGATTCTTCTCCCTATCTTATCCTAAGAAGGTATAGCACAGGTATTATATATAGGTTATATATAAGCCATGATAATCTGTTGCATTCTACAAAAGCAAGGATGTAGTCATTATATCTTGGAAGCCATTATGTGGGCAGCCTCCTTATTTAATACTCATAAAACACTTCTAACTCAGTTCCTCAGCACTGAAGATTTTGGGTTAAGATACAATGAGAACTTTTCTATTTGTACTTTGTAAAACAGCTTGGGAGAGAAAGAAAAAAGGTTCAAAAAAACATTGTAATCGCTTTTGCAAAGAGCTGTAATTGGTCATCATCGGGCTTTCGGGAGATGGTAACAAATGCTTATCTTCTGGGATTGGTGGCTGTGTATTGATTCATAATAGATGGCTGGTCTGTAGAAAGCCTGCCAGCTCAAGCTGGCATTTCTGGCCATTCAGGGACAAGGTAGGAATCAAAAGTATATTCAAAATTTTCCAGTAGTAAAGAGTACTTAGGAGCTTGAATCTTCTCCCGTCTTCCGCAGTTGAAAAGGTAGGAGTATTACTGAGTATGGGGAGACTTGTTCCAGGACCCCTTCCAGACTGAGGGCAAGTACCTCCATGTCTAAAAGAAGAAAACTTTTATGTACTTTCCTCTAGGATATGTGACTCGGTGCAGTTTCTGAGCACCCACTGACGAAGATTTGTAGCAGGTGTATTACGTGCGTGTGAGCTGCCATAAGTTCAGTTCTTCTTACCAAGGGATTGTCACTTTGAATGTATAGGAATGAGCTGTTTCTCCCGTGATAATGTGAGACCAGTCTAAAAGGACCGATTGTACTAGGTATGAGGAAAGAAAAAGTATAATTGTGATGTGGTAATGGTTTATATAGGATCCATGGTTTGGCAATATCCACGGCAATTTTCCTGCTGTTCTCTGGATTTGAATGCAGGGAAGCCCTCCTTAGAGGTCTATAGAAGCCCTGTGATGTCTTTTATTGTCAATAAAATGAAGAAGCAGGAATTCCTGGGGTAAGAAGGTGGCTGTTTAGAAGATGAAGTGAAAATAAAATGATCGAATGTCACTTCTGGTACCATATCAGTACCTTGAGCCACTAATTGCTGGAGGCATTGGGACCACGACAACAGTATATTTTGCCATGTTCTTACAGTCTTTCTTGGGCTGCAGGCAGCTGAGACAGACAGGACACAGACTTGGCTGAACACTTAATTTGACCTCACATTTGTTCACCACTTTATTTTCTTTTCAACCACATAATAGCTTGGACCTCAAAAATGTCGTGTAGATCAGCTTCAGTATTGCTAGCAGAAGAAAGGCTAGCAGTATTATTTAGGAGTCGTTTCCAAGGTGTGCTTTCTACATTTCCAGCAATACTTGGAAACAAAATCAAGCTTAAAGCAGTAACGGACATGCATGCTGTGAAGATATTTGTATGGATAATAAAGTTTTGCACTTTTTGTACTGCTGCCATTCAAACATTTAGTAAAAGCACTTAGCAAATGCTAATGAGTTTGTTCCCACAACAGAAGCATGGACATGACAGCCAAAGTTTTTCAAATTTAAGTATCAAAAATTAGACACCGAAGTGGTTTTAGAACCCCTAATAAAAATGATTGAATTTTTACAACTGTGGAATATTCACAGCTCTCCACAAGTGGCTTCATTACTTGTACAAAATATAAGCACTTGTGGAAGACACATGATTTCTCCCACCAGTGTGGGAGAAAAAGTCTCATCCTATTAAAGTTAATTGCCAAGCTCTCACTCCCTTTCAGGGAGTCAATATTTTGTTCCTTGGTTCTGGGACAGCAGAAGCTGATGCTGTGTTATTGGGGCTGCTGCTAGAATTTTGAAACTGATTTCAGTGGGAGTTTTGCAACTGATCTCTGAGGTTTGAGCCATTACCGGTTAACTGCTCTGGTAAGTAATTGTGTATGTTCTTATTTACAGCATATCAGTTTTCAGCCCTAGAGTCTACAGAAAAAGGAACAACAGCAGCAACAACAAAGTTGGCCATGAGTTTGGTCAATAAAAAGATGTAACACAATAGAGAGGGACCACAGACTTGCCAAAATACAATGGCACTAGGTAAATAAGGATGAAATTAGAAAGTAGTTTAAATTCTTATAAGGATAGGTACCCAAGATTAAGAAAAAAATTCCAGAAAAAATTATTGCCCATAATGGTAGCAAGCAAAACACTTCTACAAGGGAGGGAGGGAGGAAGGAAGGAAGGAAAGCAAGAGAGACTCTCAAATCAGCCCTCCTGACCTCCACAGATAAGGGTCAAGTTGCATAAAGAAGAACTTGCATTTTAAAACACAAGCTTGTAGTTCTTACTGGTGACTCTTCTAGAGATACACGTGGTTTAAAAAATCTTAGGAAAGCTAGATTTATCTAAGATTAGAACCTTTTATTTCCGCCTCCCCGAGTCATTTTTTTTTGATGTTTATTGGATTTTTGGCCCATCCCGTTTATCTTCCTTATGAATCTCAACTTTTTGGATAACTCTGCCAGATGTGAATTTCTTCCCAGACTGAACGGACCTGGATACACAACATGCACAACAGCACAGCCGACACTTCGCATACGGCTGGAAAATGTAATGAGACTTTGTCCACACAGCCACTGAGCTCCCAGTTTTCACTGGGCGTGTTGGTGCTGCTGGCTCTCCTCATGGTGTTGCTAGCTCTGGTCACCATCCTCGGAAACGTCCTGGTGATCTTTGCTTTCATCCTGGACAGAAATCTCAGGCATCGGAGTAACTATTACTTTCTCAATCTTGCTATTTCTGACTTTGCAGTGGGTAAGTCACAGCCATGGAGGCATGTTATATTTGTTTCCTAGGAGTCTTAGGAGAAGCAAGGGGGCTTCTTTTGCTGGGTGGTTTCTTCTAAGAGAACCATTTTCCAACTGCATGTCTGGGGAAAGGGTAAGGAATGATGGAAACCGTGTGAAGTGTTTTAGCAGCCTACTATTTTTCAGAAACACATTATCATAAGAAATGGATTCTTTGCCAGGTAAACAGGCAATATTTAATGTTATTACTTCAGGAAAGAATACTACTGTGCATGAGTGGATGTAGAATAACAAAGAATGGGAGTTGTTTGTGAAGAGTCTTGACCAAAGTCTAGATAGTCAAATCAAATACAGCACATATTATCTGGCAGATCTTGCATACGTGGTTACTATGTTTTATTTCAGTCTACTCTCTCACGATACAGATAATCACCTGAAGTGTGCAACTAAATAGAGATGAATGGTATTTTTCAATATTTTGCTGTACATACTCTATCTAGAGTCATACCTTAGGAATATGTGTTTGTATAGGTAAATAAAAATAACAAATCAAAGAGATTTGATCTCTTTGATCAAAGATTAAATTTTGATCTTATATATCTATTTATACATAGAGACACATTTTATTTTGAAACTTGTCCTGAGAAAAAGTACAATTAAAATGCTAGTGTGATGTGCAATTGGAGATTGATGTATTAAAATGTTCTGTGAAGTGTTGAGTGTTTCTGGTAAAGGTCTTGGTTAAATTATTGAGTAGACAGAAGGATGGTTTTCAACAGGTGTGGCTATTTCATGAAATCTGTATTTTGACTTGTCACATCACAACAAAATATTTTGAAACTATTTTTATTCTACTTCTTTTACCTACACATTTAAAAAGGATACTGAAAGAACTGAAGAAACTGTCTTTGCTCTTGAAACTTACTTCCAGTTTCAGAAATTCTCTTTTAGATCACAGCTTCTAATACTCTGGTCCTCGTGATGTCCAGATCTCCTTGTAAAATGTTTTAATCCCTTCCCCCATATGGATGACTTCTTCCAACTTATAACTGCCTTGTGCCACAGAGCTCTTGCTGTCTGCTGTCTGGCTACGGAACACAAGGTGAAAACCACAGCAGCGAACAGAAAACTACAGATGACAGAGTGGTTTTCTGTCATCTTGCTCAGAATTTAGCACCGTATTGAACAAATACTGGCATCGAGCTGAGAAGTACAAAGTAAATAACATCTTCTATCAAAGAAGGAATTAGAGCTTACTTGGTATTACCTAACTTCCATAAATTTTTGTTTCACAATGTTATGTTTACCTTAATGTCTAATTTTTCATTCTAAATTTGGTCAAAAATTCTGCATACTTTAGAGTCAAACTAGTTTATTGTTTTGTAGCTACATTATTTAGATTCAGGATATACTTGGATTATCCTTAATTTCTACTTCATCTTGATCGCTAAAAGCACACACTTTCATGCTTGCAGACCCCTTTGCTTATTCTTTTGCTATAATTCATCTATCTGATATTGACCTTCAACAACTTCTGCTTTACCTCTGTATAGCTGGATTTGAAAAGAGATTTCTTGATTCTTAGTAGAGGGAGAACAACAGGAAATGTAAGATTTTTAGGGAAATGGAAACTCTCAAAATACTCTTTGCTACCTGTTGCAGGAGTACACGCTATCATGAAGTAAACCTAAAGCTGAAACAATACCCTTTTTTTTCTCCCTGTAAATGTTAAAATGTATAATATAACCTTTTGCTGGAAGGAGCAGTTGTTAGTTGCTCTATAGATGCAGTGGTTCCATTTTATTGCATTGTTGATGCTATTCACTGCATTTCTGCATCGCAGGAAACTATACCATTAGCTCTTCAGCCTCACAGGGCTGCTTTGTGACTATGTGTAGTGTAATCACCCAGAAATCCCTTAAAATGAGATCATATTGGCACTTTCACAACATTTGGATTTAACACCTAAAATTTAGATAGCCATGGGTGTGGGTCACTAGTGTATGTTCCCACTGCTTCGTGTTCCCATAGATAGTATCCTATCAGCTCACCGCTGAGAAGTGGTTATGATCAAGAATTATGATAAGAAGAAATGTTAGACTGGGTGTATTTAATTAACTGTGCAGATTTTGTCAGCCTTCTGATTAGATAGTTTTAAAGATTAATCTGAAATTCATATGGTATTTCTGTAAAAATTACTGCTGAAGCACTTTCAGACACCATATCATGCTTCTAAGGGGATAGAAGCATGGCAATTAGATCATTTATTGTGGAAAAGAGTTAGTAAATCACATTGGGGAAGGAAAAAGATGGGAGTTTTTGTTTCTTTTAATTTCAGTAGCTTAATACAGAACAACGTTTACTTCAGCAGGTAGAAAAGTCAGCTGCTCCTTCCTGCAAGTGATATAAATAGGACAAGTGATAATGATACACAATAAACACAGTAACTCCTTTCAGAAAGTTATAACGATAAGAATGTTACTGATGCCAAGTTTGTGGTCAAGTGTTCATTGGTTGCATGAGAATATGAAGCCTTCCACAGGGCAATTCCGGTCAGTATTGCGCTTTTATCAGACACTGTAGAAAAGTTTCTATGCTTTCACGAGCACTGCCTGCAGTGCTGACTGATGTGTGCATTTGGTTTATTTCCATAGGTGCGTTCTGTATGCCTTTGTACATCCCTTATGCCCTGACAGGGACATGGCGCCTGGGAAGAGCCCTGTGCAAGCTCTGGCTAGTTCTGGACTATCTCCTGTGCGCAGCTTCGGTGTTTAACATCGTCCTTATCAGCTACGACCGTTTCCTGTCAGTTACAGAAGCTGTAAGGAGAAAATTTCTAGTTATTTCTTTATATATATTGAGATTTCTATAAAACTCGGAGTGTTCACCATAATACTAGAAGCTAAATAGTCCTTCATTATTGTACCATTTTTTTTGTGCAGAAACTTTGATGCTTCAGTGTTGCACTGGGACTTAGAGATAGGACAATGCCTTGCCTATGATTTCAGTGTTTCCCTCCTGCTACCTGGATTAGAAACTATTTAATTACACTGCAGAGGAGGTGGGAGGGTCGAGGTAGAAAAGGGGAGCAGGACTGTGCAGAACTGGGGTTTTGGTCATTAGAAGAGTGGTAACGAAACTAGATTGAGTCAAGGATCTGCTTAAGCTTGGGATAAATTTTAAAAGGAGAAGACAGCATGGAGATGTGGGATGGACTGACTGAAGATCAGACAGACATCTGCGTTACTGCAGGGGGTGATTGACATGTGCTGCCAACAAGAAGTTGGGTGGAAACCAATCCCCTGAAACAAAAAGAAGAATTAATCAAAATATGTGGAGAGGTATGAGGTGTTTCTTGAGTATTAACATTCTTCTGCTTCAGAAGATATTTGTGGAATCCAGTGGTAAATATTATCATTCACCATTTCTAAGCTCCAGCTGGTGTTTAGTCCAGATGGAAGATGATCAACATCCTTTGCTTTTGATGAGTCTGCTAGCTTGAGTGACGTGGGCTGTATTAAATTGAGAGGTTCTCATTTGGGAAGTGCCGATACCGTTCCCAATCTCTTTCTCTTCTTCCCCAACGTTGTAGTTTTAGGGTTAGTTGTTGCTGCTTTTTTTTCAAAGCTGAACAATTAAGTATGAAAACCCCTATATTTAAGAAAGAGTAATATTGAAAAATATTAATGAAGGTGCAGAGCTAAGAATGTGAGAAACGTGAATTAAAAAGGCTTCTGCAACCCAACTGAGCTCCATGTTCTTACATGCTGTTGATGATCTTTGTTTACATGATCACATTCTGCTTTTCTCCTCTAGGTAATTAGGGTGGAGTGAGTCCAGAAGTGTTTAACATAGGGCTGATATCCAAAAGAAAAATTTATCCTGCTTCCTCATGGACTTGAGATCCACCTCTGCTTCTGGTGCAAACCTAGCTTGTGGGAAGGGGCCAGCCACTTCAGACTTAAATTTTTGTGAAGCCGTGCTGAGCTTCCTGTTATCTGCCTACTACATTGAGATGCTTGTGGTCTTGCAAAGGGCTGCAAATTTGTTATTGCAGAACTGGAACTATGGTCTGAGCCAATAAGTTGCTTTAAGATGTAAAGAAGTCTAAATCTTCAGGCTGCAGATATTTAAAACAGAGAATCTAAAATAATGTGTGTAACGCTGCATCATTGCTCTGTTATTCACTGTTAAAACAAGGACAATGCCCCTCGTGTCATGTGTGGTTGTAAAGATACCATTAATTAGTATTTGTACAGCATGCAGGTGCTACACTAACGCACAGCATAGGAAGCTGATGAGGAAGGTAGTAGCTCTGGGTCTGAGTAAAGCCTGGGGTGACAAATGTTGAACAGTATGGAGGAAATAAAATTGTCCAGCCTCTCATTAACTGATCATCTTGTGCTCTGAAAGATGCAGGGGACCAAAAGCTATAAATATGTATTGTACATGCTGGCTGGGCCATTACAAGGGCAGTTTTAATTTGTATTTCCTAGCTTTGGATGACATGATTTTAATTCTTAGTATTTTTTCAAAGATAGATATTTATGGCTAGAGAGTAAAATAAATGAATGCAGTCTGGGCTGACATAAAAACATCAACATCTGCAGTAATACAATGAACAGTATACAAGATAAAATGAGTGTTAAAACAGAATGTTTCAATAAAGTAAGGGATGTTAAAGCATATGTGTGGGATAGATTTTTCTGCTATGGCAAGAGGAAATAGTATTAAAAATTACATTGTCTAGTGTTTGCAGTCTGTCATTGCAAACAGTCTAATATAGAAGTCTTCTACTTTTGCTTGTGCGTGAAGGAAGTCCCACAGCTGCTTTCACTCTCCTCTGAGCCTGGGCATGTCATGAATCATAAACTGATTCCTTATTGCTACCTTACTGTGGTGGTGATGAAAACAAGCCATGTCCTTTTACACCTGGAACCCAAACCACAGTTTAAGCCATCATAATTTCCGCTCATCTCCAATGCCAAGTATTAAAATCAGTCACAGAGACAGAGTATTTGATGAGCAAGACTAACAGACTTTTTTAGGACCTGATGTAAGTGAAGGTGTTCTAAGTGTCTGGTGAATTACAGAATGAATGTTATATTTGATTTGCTTGCTTATATTTTTTTGAGATTGAGAAAGTTGTTCTAAAATGTTATTTGAATATGCGATATGTCCTTTTCTTTCACAGGTATCTTATAGAGCCCAGCAGGGAATAACGTCCAACCCTGTGATCAAGATGGTGGCCATCTGGGTCTTTGCCTTCCTCCTCTACTGCCCAGCCATCCTCTTCTGGGAGCATGGGGCCGGACACAGCGTGGTAGCGGTGGATCAGTGCTACACTGAGTTCTTTAACAACTGGTACTTCCTGCTGTTCGCGTCCACTCTGGAGTTCTTTGTGCCGCTGCTCTTGGTGACCTACTTCAATGTGCACATCTTCCACAACATCCAGAGGCGCCAGCGGCACGGCAGCACGCAGGACTGTGAGCGTCCAAGGAGAAGCAGCAGCCTGTCCTGGAGATTTTGCCTCTTGCCAAGGCCAGGAACATCTACTCCATCGGAAGCAGAAGACAGTGTTTCATCTTTAACAAGGTCATGGAGACCAGCAGTGATGGCTAACTGTCCTCCTCCAACGCAAACCAGTTCCAGGGCTCTCAAAAAGAACTCTTCTGTTTCTTTCCGTTCAGGGACTGGGTCAAAACTGCAGCAGGACAAGAAAATAGCAAAGTCACTTGCCATAATTGTATGTGTCTTTGCCATTTGCTGGGCCCCATACTCTTTACTAATGATTATCCGTGGGGCCTGCCAAGGAAAGTGCATTCATAACTCCCTGTATGAGATAACTTTTTGGCTTTTGTGGATCAATTCCTCTTTGAACCCATTTCTCTACCCTCTCTGTCATATGAGGTTTCGAATGGCTTTCATGAAAATATTATGTCCCAAAAAGTTTGCAACTCTGAGATCACATAACACACCTTCTTTTTAGAGGGTTAAAATAAATGACTTAGAGATAAGAGGTTTCTCTCTTATTTAGTGCTATTTTCTTATATATATATATGTCTTTGACAGAAATAGAGAGAAAACTTTTGTTTACTAATGACATTGGTTAAAAGTGCAGCAGAGGCATGTATTTGCCTTAGTTTTGCTAGTTCTCATGATTTTGGTTTTGCTGGTATGATGCAATCTTAAACATCATCTAAGCAATGAAAAGAATAAGAAGTTTTGCTGGATCTTCTTCTTGGTTTGTGGATTTGAGGTCTTTTTTTCCCCACTTCTTTTTTTTTTTAATAAATAGAGCTGATAGTGTAAAAGAACTCTTCTATAGATATCTCCATAGAGGTTCATTGGAGGAATATACCTGTTTGTGTATGTGTTGAGTTAAAATTTATGTCCTATTTGTGAACTTAAAGCTCTCAGTGAAGATGCAGTTCTGCTACATTTTTGAAAGGTTGTATAAATACTCACAGGAGCAGTGTAATTTTGTTTCAAAAAATATTATGAAAATAGAATAGTGCCCTGTAGTCATGCACATTGAGCAATACGCAAGTGAATGGAGTGCCTAATCTGGCATATCTGTCCTTTTCTAATTTTAATATAGTCCATACCCAGTGTTTGAGGACACTGTACACATAAGCTAGTAATTCTGGATGATTTTCAAGAAAGAAAGTTTCCACGGTAATGGAATTTTGAAATTGATTGTAAAAATCGTCACAGATATAAACAGATGTTACTCTTTTCACCTGGACTGTCTTTTCTCCTGACAGTGGCTGCCTCTTTGATCATACTTAAATGATATTTAGTGCCAGATTTGTGCACTATTTGATTACCTAAAAGATAGGCCAGGCTTGGGCACATGATCCCATTCCTGTTCAATTAGCAGAGCAAGCAATACAAAGTTCATGTTGGATTTAAGATTTTGGCTGGCTGTGCGAGAATAGACAATACCCTCTCGGGTGTAAAGCTTTGCAATTGCAAAGATATTCCATCAAAATGTCTGGAACAAATTTGAACTGACAGAGTGGTTTTTATACTAGATCAGTTCTTTGTGTCCTGTTACTGTGACGTTATATGGATTTTCTCTGCCACTGAACCGGTACCAAACTGGATTTTTTGTATCACTGAATAAGGGCCATATTCACTGCTTGAGAATGGGATTCACAGAGCTCTGTCTGCAAGCTGATATAGAGGTGTCTTAAGCAGCTGTCAGTAAACAATGCTGGTAAATGTGCAGTGCTGAAAGGAGTGAGTGAAGGCAATGGAGCTTGATTCTAACCCATTCCATGTGCCAGACTTCCTTGCCTTGTGTTGGGTGTTGCAACTCACCCAGAAGGCTTTCATGGATGGGTAAGTGAGAGTCACTGGCTAAATTTTTTTTCTCTCCTTTGATATAATTTTCTTTCCTCTTTGTATGTGTATATAAGTGCATAAAATATGGAAAGAGAAATGTGATACACAGAACAATGAAGAGCAATAGTCAATTTAAACAGTACTTTTTATCTAACTTGAAATTGGCTGTAGAAGTGTTGCAAAAGCAGGGTACTCCTTTGCAAGCACAATTTAAATGCACGTGAGCAGCTTAATCATAAAGTTGATGGATTTGAGGAGCTAAAATGTCATTCTGTTCAGAGGTCTGGAGCTGAAGTCTTCTCTTGCCAGTTTTCAAGCTGGTGGAAGATTGTCTTTCTTCTTATGCTTCCTTGCATAAGGAAGGATAGTGCACCACGGATAGTGTTGTGGATTGTGAGCCTGATTGCTAATTCAGATGCGTCCTCAGGAGGCGGCCATTGATTCAGCACAGCTGTTTTCACAGTCATGAGCTAAGGTGCTCACATAGGTTTTGTGGTGTTTGCTTTTCTGTGAGACTTAAAAAATCCAAACACACACGTTTAAAACATTTGTGGAGTAGCTACTGTACTAAATAAACATCTTTTAAACAGAGAAACTGCAGGTAGGCCCAAAATGTGAAAGTATTTGCATTGTCTGCTTTTCTATCCCTATGCTTTTAGTACAAAAATTCAGTTTGCATTTTGTGAGTAAAGAATGTATTGTTTACTTTGGAAAAATGGCCTACAAAATTATTGACTAGATAAACTGTATCCGCATATTGCAGTAGTGGAAAACTAGAGTTTGTCAGGGAGCATAATATGCAGCAAATTTGAAACTGCATAGAGTAGTGAAGCTACTAGAGATCCATGTTTTTGATGTTCTATATTGCACACACAGTGTCACACCACTGTTTTGTCACACCACTCCTGTGTATTTGAGGATTTTTTTGTATTTTTCTAATTGTTGAAAATTTTGCTTAGTGCTCCCAGGTTAAGTCAAGATCTTAGTTCCTGTGCTCACAGCATTAAAGTTGTCTTGGTCAAAGTGGCATCCTAAGTCTTCTCCTCCCTATCAGACATTTTGCAGGGTTGTGATAAGATACCTATTCAGCATTTGTTCTTGGGTATACCCTTCATGCACTGACACAAATGGACTTTGATTGCCAAAGTGATTTCTAAGCCAAGTTTCTCTGTCTACTCACTCATCCATTTCACCATTTCATGTCCATGAATTTTTTTCTGTCTTTGTGGATGTCCAATAGGTCTTGTAAATACATGGTGACAGTAGGTGTACAACTCTGAGGTTCAACTCAAACCACAACAGTGTTTTACTAACTTGACCCTCTTAGGTCTTAAAAAAAACCCCACAAATAAAGCATGTATGTTGGAAGAAATTGTATTATCTTTTGTTTAATTGTTTGTTTATTTCTGAGATGAGTATTTAACCCTAATGATTCTTCTAACGTCTATCTCGTTTATGTTAGGCTATGGTTTTCCTCCACAGGAAGGAAGGAAGGAGAGACCACATAGATTTCTCCTTCAGTCCTATGAAGGACTCTGATTAAAACTTCAACATTTGATTTATTCTCTAAATTTTAAGAGCAAATGACTACTCTCCCCTCATCCACTAATCTAGTAATTTTATCAAAGGAGACAATCAAGTTGCTCAGGCATGATTTACCCTTGGTAAACCCATGTTGACTGTTCCCAGTCACCTTTTCCTCCCTCAAGTTTTCAGAAATGCCTTCCAAGAGGACTTGCTCCATTATTTTCCCAGGGACCAAAGAGAGACTGACCTTTCGTCCTTGTGGCATCACTTGAAGACGGTTGCAACATTTGCCTTTCTTCAGTTGTTGAGAACCTCCCTTCATCTCCATGGCCTTTCAAAGACGATAGAAAGTGGCCTTGCAAGGATGGTAGCTGCTTCTCTTGGCAGTCTTGGGTGCAGCCGATTGGGTCCCATGAACTCTTAAGAGTTAAGTCTTCCCTGACTTATTCTCACCTGCTCCTGACAAGTCTTCACCTTGAACTCATTCACTAGGTATGGAGAAGAGTGAGACCTAATTAGTGAAGAATGAAGTAAAAAGAGCATTGAGTGTCTCAGCCTTATCTGCATCTGCTGTCACTGGATCACTGGCCCCATTCAGCAAAGTGCCTGCATTTTTCTTATTCAGCATTCTACTGTTAATGTGGTGGTGGCTGAAGTTCTTCATGTTCAACAAGGCCAAGTGCAAGGTCCTGCACGTGGGTCAGGGCAATCCCAAGCATAAGTACAGGCTGGGCGGAGAATGGATCGAGAGCAGCCCCGGGGAAAAGGACTTGGGAGTGCTGGTGGATGAGAAGCTCAACATGAGCCGGCAATGTGCGCTGGCAGCCCAGAAAGCGAATCGTATCCTGGGCTGTATTAAAGGTATTGTGGCCAGCAGGTCGAGGGAAGTGATTCTGCCCCTCTACTCAGCTCTCGTGAGACCCCACCTAGAATACTGTGTTCAGCTCTGGAGTCCCCAACATAAGAAGAACATGGAGCTACTGGAGCGGGTCCAGAGGAGGCCCACGAAGATGATTCGAGGGCTGGAGCACCTCTGCTATGAAGACAGGCTGAGAGAGTTGGGGCTGTTCAGCCTGGAGAAGAGAAGGCTCCGCGGTGACCTTATAGCAGCTTTCCAGTACCTAAACGGGGCCTACAGGAAAGCTGGAGAGGGACTTTTTACAAGGGTGTGTAGTGACAGGACAAGGGGCAATGGATTCAAACTGAAATAGGGCAGATTTAGATTAGATATAAGGAAGAAATTTTTTACATTGAGGGTGATGAGGCAGTGGAACAGGTTGCCCAGAGAAGTTGTGGATGTCCCATCCCTGGAAGTGTTCAAGGCCAGGTTGGATGAGGCTTTGGGCAACCTGGTGTAGTGGAGGATTTCTCTGCCCATGGCAGGGGGGTTAGAACTCGATGATCTTTAAGGTCCCTTCCAACCCTAACCATTCTATGATTCTATGTTGTCCTTGATGTCCTTTACAACCATCAACTCTAGGTAAGCTCTGGTTTTCCTAACATCATGTTTATGTGGCCGGGCAACATTTCTAAATTTCTTCTTTGAAGCCTGTCTCTGCTTCAAACTCTTCCATGCTGCCTTTTTGCATTGCAGCTTCCCTGGTTAGCCAGTGTCCTGATACATCTACTTGTTTTCTTGAGAATTGGGATGGGATTTTCTTGTGCATGGAGGCTGCTGTTTTGAGAGGCCTGCATGTGCTCTGAGCTCCTTTGCACTTCAGAGCTGCTTCCCATGGCATCCCACCTACCATTTCTCCGAATAAACTGAAATCTGCTCACCTAAAGTCCATGGTCTGTACTGCTACTCTCCTTCCTCACCCCCTTTAGGATCTTGAACTCCACTGCCTCATCGTCAATATGGCCAAGGCTGCTGTTGATTGCATTATGCCTAACCAGCTCCTCTTTACCCGTGGACGGCTGATCTAGCTGTGTGTCACCCTCGTTGGCCCATTCAGTACTTGTGTCAGAAAGTTCTTCCTGACACCCTCCAGGAATCTTGTTGACTGTTTGTACCTGCTGTGTTGACCTTGCAGCAGATGTAATGAACATTGAAGCCCTGCACAAGAAACAAGGTCTATGATCCAGAGGCTTCCTTGATTTGCTTAAAGGAGG